ACCCAGCAGTGTGTCTATGAGGAGTGATCGATCAAAGGATGGTGTCATTGAGTTGAAAAAACGACAACGTTCTGCTGGAAAGACGTAAGAAACTGACACTGTAGTGCAGGGGTTCGTTTAACAAAGCAGGTTTAGTGAAAACTCTTGAGTCTGTTAACCCTGAAATGAGGGAAACTCTTGAGTTTTCTGTTTCACAAAGGGAGGTAACTCAAACCAGAAGAAGAGGCCTAACTCTAGCCTGTTTCACAGAGAGAGCTAACTTCAGACCTCAGTCAGTTACCGTAGTATCAGACTCTATGAACCTAGCCTGGTCAGAACCAGGTTTTTCTCGATGAACCTCGAGTTTCTCTCTGTCTCCGCCCTCTTTCAGCCACACACTCTATTTGATTTCCTCATTCCTTCATTCATTCAATCAGCAGGCAAGTTTTGGCGTAGCCTCGTTCGGCTGTCTGTTAAAAATCATTTTAAAAAATCAGAGTCAGTCGGCTGTATTAGAAGTCCATTAGACACAGTCGGTGGCCACTTTTTCCACTAGCATGGCATGTCCTTTTGACAACAATCCTGTGGATGAAGGTGGAGCATTACTGCAAAGAGAATTAAATATTTGTCGGGGGATGGTTATCAGACTGCCCATAGATGTTCTAGCATTTCCAGACAGTTCTCTTTTTGAGTGGTACCGTTTCACCTTACATGTGCAGCATTACCAACCGTAGTCATGCTCTCACATCCCAGCAGATATTGTGTGTTGCACTGTGTTTCTTTGCAAATGAAAGTTTTTTGTACAGTGTCGGAGATGCAGAGCATGCGAGTAAGGCGCCTGTATGCAGGACAGTCAGAGAAGTGAGCCTCCCCTGAAACGGCTTTTACCATCTTTGTCGTTTTCCCTGGACATAAACCTGTCAGAGCCATCAAGGAGGAGTTCCCCAGGCCTGCAGGTGAATGATGTAGAGATCTGTTAAATTTGTTTTAAATTATATTCTGTTCATGACATTGTGCTGCAACCTCAGACTTGAACAATGTTTTTATATTTCATCTGAAGCTGCTGCCAAGTGCGCTTGGATTGCACCTAAATGAAATGAAGTAATAGGCTACCATTCAAGCAGTTTTCCTGTAGTGTTATTGTGATCACAAAGGACGACATTTAAACTTCCGCATTGACCCGAGCAGCAATGTTCTCCACGCTGCCTCCCTCTGTTTTGCAGCTGCAGCGGTGATGCGCTTCTTTTTAAAAATGTGTTCAAACTCGCTGTATGAGCGCATTAAGATTTCCAGTTCTAGTAGGTGAAAGACGCAGCCCTCCGCTTCCCTGTTGCCATGGTGACTGGTCGAATCGGGGCTGCATTGATGCTGACTTTTTATAGCTGTGATGCACATGCTTACCTCCAGGTGAAACTACTCCTAGTTGATTAAATTTACTCAAATCCGCTGTTCTGGAACCGGAAACTCAAGAGTTTCCAATCTCAGAGTAGATCATTAGATTCAGAGTTTGTTGAACCTGCTTTGTGAAACAGACCCCTGGGATACTCAACTTAACGTGGCTGAGGGCCAGATTTGGAAAATGAAAGGAGGTCGGGGGCCAGTTTAATAAACTACATTCATCATACAACATCAGCAAACTTTCAAAAAAATAGCTGGAACCTTTTTTTTTATCATGCAGATAAACATTGAATAAATTCATAAACAGGTTTTAAGAAATAAAGTGAACACATTTCAGCTCTTTTAGCGTGAAAGATATATAAAATGTAATTATTAAAATAACATAAACACGTACCTGCACAGTGCAAACCAGCAAATATTAGAATACTTCAGAAATGTTTTTTGTTCATTAAAACAAAAGCATGCAAACAAAAAAAAACAACCAGCTTTGTCTATAACCATCTGAACCAGGAAACACAGATATGGGATCAGATGCTCAAACTTCATGCATCACACAGTCAGTTGTTGAGTTCGCTTTTAGTGGGGGGTATTGCATCTCATATCCTTGGAGAACTTACTGAAGGATGATTTGTGAGATGTCAATGCAATATGCAAGCACTGGTTGAGATGTGAGTCGGTGAGTCTGTTGTGCTTTTTGTCTTTAATTAGATTCATCACTGAAAACCCCGACCTGCATATGTAGGTGGATCCGAACATTGTCAACATGTATATAGCGAGTCGTTTTAAGTTTGAATACTGATGAACTGAGTGTTTCTAAAACTCACACAGTCTCTCCTCTCTGAACTTGGCCCTCAGGACATCGTTGGCCTGCATCTGAACCAGTTCCAGCGGAAAAGTGCCCTCATTGATTTCGGGCACAGCGTTTTTTGCGTCTGCTGGACAGCTCCCGGTGACAGTGACGGCAAACGGGTTGCGCACAAACAGCAGCAATTTGAAGTTGTGAAACCGCGATCTGAAGTTCTATGACAGATTTTTCAGCAATGCTACCATGTGTGACAGTACAGTCCCATTTGTAGAAACACTGTGCAGGGTAGAAAAGTGGAGTTGTTTTCCCTCTATGTCCGCCATGAAAACGCCCAAGGTTGTCTGAAAAGCGCTCGCTTTTTCGAAGAGCTCTCCCACATTTGCATCCTCACCTTGGAGCTGCAGGTTTAGTTGGTTCAAGTGGCTAGTGATGTCACACAGAAATGCAACCAGAGCCACAGATTCCTGGTCTTGCATAAACTGAGACAACTCCTCTGCTTTCTTTGTTTTTTGACTGGAAAGAAACTCAGCAATTTCTTTGCGCAGTGCAAAGAAGCGCTGCAGGACTCGCCCCCTGCTCAGCCATCTGACATCATTGTGCTGCAGTAGGTCTGAATATTGTGCGTCTTGCTCCTGTAGCAGTAATTTGAAAAGCAGGTGCTGCAAGCTTGAAGTGGAGCGAATGTGATTTACAATTTTGTTCATGGTGTCCATCGCTCCTTTCATTTCACCAGACAGTTTGGTGCATAAAACTGTCTGGTGAATGATGCAGTGTAGTGAGTTGACTGTGGGGTGGTCTGATTTGAGACGTGACGCTTAGCCCCTCTCTCGCCCGATTATAGATGGCCTGCCAGCAGTCACAAGGAGGTTGATTTTATTCAGTTCTAGAGAATGTTTCTCAAAAAAACATTTTTATTGAAGTGTAGATAGCCTCAGCTGTCGTGTTGGTCTTGAGGTGCAAAAGGCAAAGCAGCTCCTTTTTGAAATGCTCCCCATTAAAATATCTTAACAGAAACAGTCAGCTGCGCAGTATCTGTTGCATCTGTAGACTCGTCCACAGCTACTGACATGTAGTCCACACACTTCAGTTCGTAATTGAATCTGAAAGCTGAACCCGCTTCACACGGTAAATGATTTCATCTTTGTGTCTGTCACCGGCAAACAACTCCTCCACGATTCCCAAAGTGCACACTTTCACAAGCTCAGCGTCCACAGATGGCTTGCCTTTTTTGCCAGTTCCCAGCTTACATGAAGCGAGGCAGCAGTGGCTGTTTGGTTGTAGTCAGTGGTTGTAGTCGTCAAGACTGTTGATGTGGTTGAATAAGACGACTTTAAAGTGGCAATATCGTCTTTCCATGCAGTGCTGTCATTTGAAAAATTAGACACAACAGTTTGGCGTTGGCATGCGATGGCAATAAGAAGGCAAACTCATCTGTCCATTTGTTATTAAACTGTCTGTTGTCATCGTCAGCTTTTCTTCACTTACAAACCTCACTCATTGTTTTGCCAAATCCAAGAGCAGGCAGACACGTCGTTTGCTGTGGAGGCCAGTAGAGATTTTTGAACGGCGCAAACTATTCACCACCTTCACGGCCCCAAATATATAGGGCTGTGTGAAAACTAATGATGAGGAGGACTCCTTTTACACCCAGTTCCTCATGTGAAAGCTAGAAAATATTCAACATTCACACCATGATCAAAGGAAAAACTTTCTTGAAAAACATGAGTTACAAATATTTTATTTAATTTGGAACCAATATAGCAATGATTGCGGGCCTGTCAGCAGTCAGTAACGGGTGGGATTTGGCCCTCGGGCCGTAAGATGAATGTGGCTGCTGTAGTGCATCCTCACAAAGACACACAACATGAATACACAGACACACAAAGTGAACACAAGGAGAAACATGAACACAGAGTGGTTTAAAAAGTTTAAAGTTTTCCAGCTTCATTCTTCTGGTTGATGGCTGATAAACAGTGAATTTGTCTCCCTGCTGGTTTTCCTCTCTGTCGAACAGGACCCATCAGAACCCAGAACCAAAACCAGGACCAGGACCCAGCAGTGTGTCTCTGAGGAGTGATGGATCAAAGGCTGACATCATTGAGTTTAAAAGACGACAACATTCTGCTGAAAAGAAGTAAGATACTGACACTGTAGTGCATCCTCACAGAGCGATACAACATGAACACAATGAGACACAACATGAACACAATGAGACACAACATGAACACAAAAAAAACAATATCAACACAAAAAGACAATATGAACTCAACTTCAGGAGGTGTAAACCGGACATTCAGCCCATCATAATCGATGGGGACAGGGTGGAGATGGTGCCAGACTTCAGGTTCCTGGGCACCTACATCAAACTCCACTTCAATCCTGAAGAAGGCACAGCAGAGACTCTGCTTCCTGAGGATTCTCAGGAAGAATAACCTAAGAATTGAGCTCTTGGTGTCCTTCTACAGCTGCTTGGTGGAGTTGGTGCTGAGCCACGGCATCTCGCTGTGGTTCTCCAGCTGCACTGCGGCGGAGAGGAAGCAGCTCCAGAAGGTCATTAACACTGCCCAGAGACTGACTGGCTGTCCTCTTCCGTCTTTGGAGGAGATTCACAGCACCTGCTGTCTCAGGAGAGCCCACAGCATCATCAGGGATCCCCTCACACCCCTCACACCATCTCTTCAAACTTCTACCCTCAGGGAAGTGTTTCAGGGCAATAAAGACAAGGACAGACAGAGTAAAGAACAGTTTCTACCCAAGAGCTGTCGTTTCCCTGAACGCCACAAATTCCCACTTATCATTCTTCAATGTAAAATAGAAAAATCTCTGTTCATGCCCCGATTGTTTTTATATTTTTTATTTTATATTCATATTCTATATTCTATTTTTTTCTAANTGTAAACTGGAGACTCTCAGGTCAGTTCACTGACTGTTGATGGTTTTTCATATTCAAGTCAAATCCTTCACTGAAGTTTGGAGTTTGTTGTTAATAAATGTTGAGGATGTTCCTGAAAACAGTCTGAAGATGTTTCAGATTGTTGACTGTGAATAAACGCCCTGATCAGCTGACTGCAGTGTTCCCAGATGGAGGACAGAAGCCACAGTCCTGCTGTGTGTGTGAATGTGAAGCTGATGTAAAGTGATGTGAGGCTTCAGCAGTCTGACTTCCACACATCCAGTCAGGATGTTGGTGTTTCCACAGTGTTTGTTCTGAGCTGCAGTGGAGCCTCAGGAAGTCAAAGAGGGACTTTAGTTGTCAGTAATGTGTAACTTTGGTGGACGCTCACTTGATTAGTGTCAGAAGCTGAAGCTGGATGTTAGTGTGAGCTGAGCTCATGAGGTGATTCCTTCCAGTGGAGTTGTGTTAGTAAGAGAGCACGAGACAGTCAGTGTGGACAGCAGGAAGCAGAATCCCTCTGCAATGTACAGACGACATGTGGCTGCTGTTTGAAGACGCACTTGAAGATTTTTAATGAGACAAAGTTACGAAGCTGATAAAGACAGAAGAAGAAGGTGATGGAATAAATGAAAGAATGAAGAGTTTGTAGTCCAACATGTGAGATGTGATGTTGATCCTGTGATGAGAGAGTGGACTGAGGTCAGCAGCATGTTGTTGATGTGTGTGGACATGAACAGCTGGATGGATGTTGTGCTGACATCTGGATGATGTGTGTAGAAGCTGACATGATGATGATCCACAATAACAGAAGGACAAAGTCACTCTGCTGATTGGAGAGAAAAGCTCATTGATGAGGACAAAGTCATGTTGAGCTGCACATTCAGAACCTGAACACATCTGATGCATCATCACTGATTTTATCTACATCTTTTATTCTTTATTCAGATTGATGACCTGCAGTTTGTCAGAGATCAGTTGTGATTCTCTGGTCTCAGCTCTGAAGTCCAACCCCTCCCATCTGGAACATCTGGACCTGAGCATCAACAACCTGCAGGATTCAGGAGTGAAGCATCTGTGTGGTTTCCTGGAGAGTCCAGACTGCAGCCTGCAGACTCTGAAGTAAGTTCACTGACTGTCTGTTACTGTTGGAGATCTGATGTGTTTAATGACAACTAAAGCTTATTTGTGACCCATCTGCACGAATCAGTCGCACTGCCCCTGGCGGTAATTGACATCGATATGGAGCATGCTATTGCGCTCTGTAATATTATACAGTCATGGAAAAAAAAAATATTAGACCACCCTTATTTTCTAGAATTTCTTGTTCATTTTAATGCCTGGTACAACTAAAGGTAAATGTTGGACCAATATCATGATAACAACAAAAATAGCTCATAAGAGTTAAATTTCAGTGCTGGTATCTAGCCATTTTCCATGGTTTTCTTGACAATAACCAAAATCACTTAAGTTCTTCCATCAGTAGCTATGGCACTGTGCTGCCAAAAACAATGCTTTTAGGCATTCCATGTTTTCTTTTCTGTCTGTTTTAGTCACATGATACACACAGGAGTTAGTACTTGATTGCATAACCATTGTTTTTGATGACTGCAGCCATGTGTCTTGGCTGCTTTCCACCAGCTTCTGACATTGTTCTGCTGTCACAGCAGCCCACTCCTGTTGTACAAATTCAACAAATTTGCTTTGGGCTTGTGGTTCTCCGTTTTGCGTTTGATGATGTTCCACAGGTTTTCAGTTGGATTTAGATCTGGTGATTGAGCAGGCCAAGGCATGGTTCCAGTGTTCTGGTTCTCCATCGAGGCTTTAGCTGACCTCGCCGTGTGTCTTGTTGGAAAATCCAGTCACTTGAGGCAGGAAAGAGTTTTCCAGCTGATGGAAGAAGACTGTTTTAAAGAGTAGCCTTGTACATGACCTGGTTCACTGAAGAGAACCTCAGCCCAACCATCAACAGTCCAGTCCTTTTGATCCCCAACAAAGAGTAACCGGGCTTTCCTCTGCCTTTGGTTGATGAAGGGCTTCTTCTGTGCCCTGTGTGACTTCAGACCAGCTTCAAGACGTCGGTTTCAAACTGTGCTTGCCGAACCAGTCACATTTCTCCACAGTGCCCACTCATGTTTAAGGTCCCTGGAGGTCTGACGATGATTCCTGACACAGGAACAGATGAGTGTACGGTCATCTTGTGGGGTAGAAAGACGTTTCCTGCTGCGACCAGCTAGCAATATGGTAGCACCATGTTGGGCTTGTTTTTTCTTGATGTAATGAACGGCTGTCTTGGAGATGTTTAGTTTTTTCGCAACCTGTCTCTCACTCATGCCAATTTCCAGCAGTGCCAAGATGGCTGCCTTTGTGGCTTCACATAATTCTTTTATTTTAGGCGTTATGTGAGAGCTGACAACTTCTGAGTTTTGCTACAGCTTGAATGTAAGCAGGAAACCACTGTAGGCCTTTGCATGTGCAGTGCTGCTTTTGACATGAAATGGCCTCTTATATACATTTAAGCTTAAGTATGTCAAATAGAAGGGCTGCAGGGTGGCGCAGTTGGTAGCACTGTTGCCTCGCAGCAAGAAGGTTAACACAATAACAGAAGGACAAAGTGACTCTGCTGGTTGNGATCAGTGTTGATGTGATTCATGTTCACTGTGAAGAGTTTAAAGTTTTCCAGCTTCATTCTTCTGGTTCTTGCGGACTGCTGAAGCTTATAGGGAATCCAAATGTTTTGGATTGTTGGGTGTTTCTGTCTCTGCCTTTGTGAAGTGCTATGAGATGACTTGTTGTAAATATGCGCTATACAAATAAAATTGAATTGAAATTGAATTGAATTGAATTGGTTGATGGGTGACAAACAGTGAATTTCTCTCCCTGTTGGTTTTCCTCTCTGTCTACCAGGATCCATCGGAACCCAGAACCGGGGCCGGGACCAGGACCAGAACCCAGCAGTGTGTCTATGAGGAGTGATGAATCAAAGGACGACATGATTGAGTTTAAAAGACGACAACGTTCTGCTGGAAAGAAGTAAGACACTGACACTGTAGTGCATCCTCACAGAGACACACAACATGAACACAAAAGACACAATATGCCACAAATTCCCATTTATCATTCTTCAGTGTAAAAATAGAAAAATCTCTGTTCATGCACCAAGTGCAATACTCCTAATGCAATAACTTCTTGAACACAATATGCTGGTTGTAAAGATAAGATAAAGATAAACTTTATGGATCCCACAGTGGGGAATGTTCACTGTTACAACAGCTCCAAAAAAAAAAAAAAAGAGTACAGTCAGTGCAAGAATACTTTAGGAACACCCAGTGCAAATTGTAGGAAAAGAAACAGAAACACACAGTGCAAAAAAATTGCAAGAGGTAAAAAAAAACATTATACACAGAAGTTTATTTTATTTTATTTTTTTAAGAAGACTATATACACAAAGATGAGGTAGTAGTGGTTATTGCACATAGTGGAATGTGTTTGTTGGTGGAAAAAAGTGCAGCAGTACCAGAGGTACCAGTGGAGTCTATAGTGCAGCGTTGTAAAGTCTGACTGATGTTGGGGTGAAGGACCTGCGGAAACGTTCCTTCTTACACTTTGGGTCTAACAGTCTGTCGCTGAATGCACTGCGTAAGGAGTTCACAGTCTGATGCAGAGGGTGGGAGGTGTTTCCTATGATGGCAGACAGTTTAGCCAGTGCCCTCCTCTCTCCCACCACCTCAATGGAGTCCAGGGGGCAGCCACAGACTGAGCTGGCTCTTTTTATCAGTCTGTTGAGTCTGCTCTTATCACGCTCAGAGCACCCCCCTCCCCAGCACACTACTGCATAAGCGACCACTGATGCCACCACAGTGTCGCAGAACATCCTCAGCAGTGGCCTGCACACACCAAATGATGCAAGCCTCCTCAGCAGGTATAAACAGCACTGACCCTTCTTGTACAGAGAGTCAGTGTTATCTGTCCAGTCCAGTTTGTTATTTAGGTGAACACCCAGGTACTTGTAGGTCCTCACTTGTTTTTGTATTTTTTATTTTATATTCATATTCTATATTCTATTTTTTTCTAATCTTCATCCCTTTGGTCGTGTAAATACCCCTGATGTTTTGCACTGCCTAC